TGCCTGATGCACTGGATCAGGACAGTTACAGTAGCAACCGCACAGCTTTTGTCTTGGCTCTTTCAGTGATAGCAATGGTGAAGGCAAACAAAAAGCAAAAATTGAATGTAGATTCGTATAGACCAAGCCTGGTCTGTTGTGAACCTCAAACCGACCTGAGGCTTAGGACTCTTGTGGCATAATTGTCGTGTCCTTTCTTCTGGATCAGACAATCCTGCCCTGATGAAGTAAAATAATATAACTGAAAGGTGGATTCAAAATGCAATCTGCCTGAATTTGATGACGAGGACTTTGACCAAGTGTTATTTGTAGTATTACAGTGATTTTCCAGATAGTTTATCACTGCTCCTAAAAAAAACACTAGGAAGGGAGATATGCTATTGATACCTGTTTAAAAAAAAGTCCTGCTTAATTGCAAGATGAAGTAATTTTGGGGAAAAGCTTTCAATGTAAATTCGAGCAGTTGTGAAATTCTGTTGCTCTAAAATGCAGCACAGATGGTGGCCAGAAGCCTTCACTGCATGGCTGTGGTGCCTACACAATAGGACTGACAAGGCTGTGCTATACTTGTATTGTATGAATGTGGCCCAATATCATGTGATTCTTCAATTATGAAATGAAAGGATGCAAGGATATCAAGATATCTGCCCTTTTTGAGAAGACAGTTGCTTTTTAAAAGATTCCGTTGTGTGGCTCGTTGGAGATAAGGCAGAACCCAAGAGAGTCTAGTGAAGGGTATGACAAGTGGTGTGTTGAATTGTCGTGAAATAGAGTTTTTCTTAGGACCATTATCGTCGTGTTGGCTCATCTGTGACAGGGTTAGATAACTGTTTGGAATCTGTAATGATAAACAGTTTGCAGAAAGGTCAACAAGATTGAAACATGTGCAGGCATTGTCTGATTTAGATGGCTACTTTGGTCACCTCCTGCAACAGGCCAATATTTGCACCACTGAATTTGTGGGGAACGAGCACAGAAGAACATTTGATGTCCATTGTTTAATCGATAAAGTTCAAAGCACCAATGGGAGATCCCAGAATTTCAAAGATTTCGATTGTTTAGGCATGCGAAGGATGTTCCCACTTGCTGAAGATGCCAGAATCTCTGGTGTATGTTTCCAGGGCTGGATGGAGGTCAGGTCATTAAACTGGAAGAACATTCTGGATTTCTTTATTGCTTCCAAAGTCCTTAACATATTTTGGAAAACAACAACTTCATCTTCCATGATTATTCACTTAACCTTCAGTGGGGCCTCACTTTCACTAGTTAGCCACCCAGTATTCCCTGCGGTGACTATACTATGACTGATTATTTGGTTCGAGTGAGAGTTGTTTCTTTGGAATCTGCACTCAGCTTTTCTGATTCCCAGCTAAGGTGCCGAAACATTCCCATGGGAGGTGAGCCTCTGTTACTTCTTTTCAAGGCAATGTTATAACTTGGCAGTGGCACAAAGCCGAACTCCAAGCTCTGGCTGAACCCAGGCTTATTGAAGGACTTGCCATATTGTGGCCACTATTGGCACACCTATTATGACCGAGTGGTGAAAATGGAGCCATTTTTAACTTCTGACAGAAGGTGTGAGGTGATTCCTGCTCTGCATTTCTGACAAGAAGCATGCACTTTATAGAAAACTGAATATATGTTTCATCATAAAAGTCAATCTTGTTTGCAAAAATGTTTGCTGACTCAAGTAATGCAGTTAGATAATTCAACTCTCTGCATTATTTAGGACAACTGTTTTTCCTTGAGGAAACATTCGTTATTTTTAGCACTGGCTTTTTTTTCTTGGATTAGCAAATTAAAGCTTCCCATGTCTGCATTTTCTCATGTATGAGAGTTTAGGAGATTGTGGATCACAATTTGCATTTATTTTGCCCGGCAGTATTTTTAGCACACTCATTTATCCTTTTCAGATGGGAAAGGCAGGGTTTTTTGATCTCCTTCATCTTATGATGAGAATCTTTGTTCATCTTCCAGATGAAGTATATAAAATATTTAGGGTGGAATCTTGCCAGGCTCTGAGTGCCATAGGTTACAGTGAAATGACTGGTAGCATCAGGTGAGATGGTCATCTCAATGTTGAGATCATCTTGCTGCAATTCCTCCCTGCCCTTTGCTCAAGTAGTGTGGCAAGATTCTCTCCAGGGAGCGGCGAGTTCCCAATTGAAGCTTTTTCTTGCTTGTTAAACATGTTGGTAAGAGCCCAACTTGCTGCAGGTTGCAATCTAGCTAAATTACCATGCAGACATCCGGAAAAATTGGTGTAGAAAATGGAGCAGGTACTCGCTGCTTGCTCCAACAGATCCCTATTGGTCACAGATGGACTGGAGGGCAGGGCCAGCTGCTCATACCTTTCCATAACAGACATTGGCATCCCCTTTCAAGGTGCCACCATTCTGGCATCCTCCAGTAGACTGGCACTGTATCCTGCAGGTGCAGACTCATTTAGGAGGGCACACCAGCAACTAGCAGTGTACAGCTGCATCGAGTACAGGTACAGCACAGGGAGAGGAACCCATTGTGTGGCTTTTACAGGGCTGTCTACCAGGATTTGTCCCTTCAGTGCTCATTCACGTGGTGCCCACTGGCATGCCGTCAGCATGCTTTCTTCTGCTGTACCTTCCCTTCCATTGGCAGTTGGCACACTGAGACAACCAGGTAGATGTCTGTGTAGTGCAGCAGTCCTCAGTTGAGGTGTGTGAATCTTGTCACGTGTCAATATGCCACATCACTCTAGCACCTGCACCATGTGGTCTCAGTATTCACATCTGCAGCAAGCAGTCAAACCTGTCTAGACGTCTGACACGAGTATTTAGCAGTGAAGGGTTGTACCTATCAGGCGGTTGTCAAAGGCAGCATCCCATTTCAGCCCTGGGCTTCAGCCACAGTTCCAGGCTTTAGCCCTAGCCTGGTCAGCATAGCATTGCGTAGGGCTGCTGTGTGTCTGTGCCCCAGGAAGCAGGTCATGATCTGTGTATCCACAGGGCCCCATCTGGTGGGATCTGGGGAGGGAAGGGAACTTGCACCCATCAGCTAGGATTGGTCCTTCACCTGATTTCATAGTAATTAAGGGGGAAGGAGTCTCTGGAAAAGGGTCTGGGGTAAAGGAAGGGCTGGGTTGATGGGTGTGTTTGACAGCATTTACACAGTTTGGGTGATATCCTGGGGAAGTACAAATGGCATGGGCACCTAGAAAGGAGAACCTGATGAGGGTCTCAACGGCATGTTAACACTGAGAATGGAAAGTTCACAACCTTGTAAAAGTACTTGGGTGAGTACTCGAAGTGTCATATCATTAAAGATTATGGGCTTAGTGGAGGAAAGTGAAACTAGTGTATGTAGAAGTGTACCTAACACAATGGACTGAAGGGCCTCTTCTACACTGTATGTTGCTATGATTCTGTGGTTCTATGATTCTAAAGAGTCTACAGCTACAACAGAGACAGGTACAACCATGTGAGCGGTGAAATGAAGGGGGGATATCAAATGCTAAAACTATTTACATACCATGGGTTGTGAAACAATCTTTAAACGTGAAAGTGTTTTATAAATAACAGAGTTTGCTAAACAAACTGCTTACATGTGCTATGATGAAGAACAAACTGTACAGATTTTCCAGCCATTGCCCATGTGTGACAATAGTACATTTTTCTGCTCGTCTCCCTCCCGCTGTGATGCACTGAGCTCCTCTGCTTCCCAGTTGGGATGGAGGCTCTGCTGTGATCCCCATTGGCCCTGGAGGTTTGGGCAGATGCCTGGGGCTTTGGGAATGGGTAAGCCAGACATCATGAGGGTCTTCTTTCCAGAGACAAGTTGACCGTCCTGGCTAGCATTTCCAATGGTTGGGAGGAACAAGCAGGTGGAGGCAAAGGACCCAACCACCTCTGCAGTCCCATGAGAGGACCCTGTCGAAGGGCATGTGTGTGTTGCTGCTCCTTTGGCTGGCCATCACTCTATCTTCTTGTGAAGGGGTGGGGGGCATCTGGACTAGGGTCAAGGCTAAATGAGCTTCCTAGGAAATGGTTTGGAAGGTCATTTTATGAGCTGCTTCATGGCTTTAACTTTGAAATACCTGCTTTTAGGAGAGTTGCATCTAAGGCCAAAGTGTTCCTCCTTCCTTTTACAAAGAGGGCTGTACATGCATATGTAAGTGCGCACAGTGGATATCAACACAGTAGCCCATTAGCCTCTACTTAACAGTGCTTATTGGGTTGAGACCCATTTGCACTAAATGATTATGAGCCTCCTTATCTCATCAGTGAAGTATCCTGAATGGATTTGACCTGCTTCAGTCACCTCAAACCAATTTCATTGAGTCAACCTTTGCTAGGCATCAGGCCCTTCATTAGTAATTTTTACCCCCCTGCTCCTTCAAACTCAAAGCAAGACATTTTTCACTAACACAATAAACTAGCTTACTTGTTTATTAAGAATTCTGAATGCCTTATGGAAAGGGCTGATATTTAGATCCATTAATGAGTCCTATTCTATATATTTTGCTTATGTTCTGTTCACAGACGCACACCGTAAGAATAGAATTCTATTCCAGATGAATACATGGGAGCATAGGAACATGTACAGCCCATTCAGCTGCTCACCTAGCATTCAATCATATCATGACTGATTTGGACCTTCATTTCATATATCCCCTTTGATCCATATTTTTAATGCCATTACATACCAAAAATGTATTGACCTAATTGGTGAAACGCAACAGCCACAACCTGTCAGGACAGAGTTTCAGATTTTCGCCCCTTGTTGTGGGAAAATTGTATACAAGGGAGATCGTGTGCTGAAGTAACAGCTTTCACAAGGGCTCAGGGGAAAATTCTTACATTTAGTATGTCATTCTGTAGAAGAAGCTGTGACACTACTGACTGTCTTCAATGTGTTGATGCCAAGCAGAGATTTATGTGAAGAAAATATGTCAGCTGTAATGTACATTTGCAACAATCAATTCCAAAAGCCATTGATCTAATCGAAAATCTTGTACCTTGCAGTATACGGTCATGGGCGGAGAAAATGAAGGATGACCTCGTGAAGTTGGTGCGCTCTTCGAGTGGAGTGGATCAGATGGAACAGGTAAAAAGAACCAACATCAGGTTTACTCAGCTACAGGGTCCCACAAAATTCTGTTCTGTGCTGTTGAGCCTCAGTTCCTTTATCAAAATTGAGTTATTTCTGTCTTTCCAACTGACTGCACCAATCCTTTACCTTATCAATTGGCAATTCACCACTACCCAGTGAGAATCTTGCCTCTCTGCATGTGAAAAGTGTAAAAGATGGGTCCATTAGAACAATTTAAAGGAATTTTACAGGGATTTGAGTGATATGGACTATGGAAAGATACGTGACAGAATCCAGCAATATGCATCTCAACATTGAAATCATCACACTATATTTTATGATTTTCACAAGTGGCATTGCGAAATTCTCGCCAGGCAGCATCAAGTTGCTAATTGACTGTGATTAATGCTTGTTAGGGGCCTTGTTAATGGCCCAACTTGCCTCATTAATATCGCAGTTGCAATCTAGCCAAACTTGCTCAACAAATTAGCTGTTGGGAAAACATAAGCTATAAACCAGCGCAGGTACCTGATGAGTTGAACTCGCCCTTTGCTCCAAATGACTTCCATGGTGGATACTGGGCACTGACCTCACAAGGTACTCGGCATGAACATTCTGTGTCCATGTACATTGGCATATGTCAGCCTCTAAGAATCCCTGAGGTACATTTCTGATCCACTTAGAGGATGCATCTGTACTTCCATGCTGCACTTCAGACTGCATCAGCAACTATCATTCTCAAGTTGCTGCAAGGACACTTTAAGCTCAGGTACATGTGGCCTTGTGCATGGACTGGACCAAGCTGCATCTCTTGGCACTTCGTATTGACCCACTCTGAGCCTACCTGAATGCTAACAGCATTCCCACCTTGCCTTGCCTCAAAGCGGGTGGTGATCAGAATGATGGACAGTGCAACGCCTGTCTCGTTGCTTTCTGCCCTATTGTCGGTTACCTTCCTCGTAGACTCAAAGACAGGCAGATAATGTGGAAGACAAAAGTTGGTGGCACAGCGGTTTGTGCTGGTGTTGGTGCGAGGTGTCCAGAGTGAGTAGGTGATGCAGAGGGCTTGAAGGATTCCTGGCGTCATGGGTGGGTGTGGGTAAGGGTGTAAGGGCAAGTCAATAATGAGGGTGATAGAGCATGAGCTTTACTGGGAGATGGGTACAGTAGCAAAGATAGGGTGTCTGTGAAGAAAATGGGATTTATTCTGGTGGTGTGGACAAAATATTCTACAGTACAGCGCATCCCTCCACATGACTGGCACTGCTGTAACCTTGGACCAGTCTGACATGCTGTGGTGTTGTAGCCTCCATTGTAGTACTGACGTACCCTGTGCATTACCTTATCCAGCAGGAATTCCAGGTCCCTGAGAGTACAGCAGATGCAGATTGACCCCGACTGCAATTCCCAGGACAAGTACCAGACAGTGTAACTGTGGAGTGACAGTGCTTGTCCGAGTACACTATGGGTTTTTAAAGATCTCCCTGTGCCAGGGTACTGCTCAATTCCAGGGTATTTGGTGAGTGGGAAGTTATTCCAGAAAAGGTGCATGGCAAAATGGGGTGGAAATTGGACATGATATTCAAAATCAAACCAGTCGGGACCATCTGCCATTAACCTAAGCGCCGGACATGACAATAGTTAAAACAGATCTGTCACCCCTGCAAAGTCCTCCTTACTAACATCTGGGGACTGTGCCAAGATTGAGGGAGCTGTCTCACAGACTAGTCAAGCAACAGCTTGACGGAGTTATTCTCACAGAAACATACCTTACAGACAATGTCCCGGACACCACTATCACCGTCCCTGGAGATGCCCTGTCCCACTGGCAGAACAGATCCAGCAGAGGTGGCAGCACAGTGGTATACAGTTGGGAGGGATTTGCCTTGGGAGTCCTCAACATTGACTTTGGAATCCATGAAATCTCATGGCTTCAGGTTAAACATGGGCAAGGAAACCTCCTGCTGGTTACCATATACCATCTCCCCTCAGTGATGAACTGGTACTCCTCCGTATTGAACAACACTTGGAGGATACACTGAGGGTGACAAGAGTGCGAAATGTACTTTGGGTGAGGGATTTCAATGTACATTGCCAAGAGTGGCTTGGTAGCAGCACTACTGATCGAACTGGTTGGGTCCTAAAGGACATAGCTGGTAGATTGGGTCTGCAGCAGGTGGTGAGGGAACCAACAAGAGAGAAAAACATACCTGACCTCATCTTTACCATACTGCCTTACAAATCTCAACACTGTACATTGCACTTAAATGGAACCTACACTGGCAGAGATACCATCTGTAACTAAGGTCCTTGTGCGTAGTCCCATATTCTTCTGAGTTAATCCATTCCTGGTGCAATGGTTTCACTAACTTGGAGTTGTTTTCCCATGTCCCTCTATAAATGCAACTTTTTGTACCTAAAGGATAGTGGCCTCAAATCACATTTGTTTCACATTTTTATTTTGCAGATTTACTTGAAAAACAGACAATACTACACAGTTGAAACAAACAATGCTCGGCGTTTGGTAGAAAGTGCAGCGAGAGAAATTGAAAAACTTTTAAGTAACAAAGTGGAAGCCCTGAAAGTGAGTACAGGAACTCTGCTAATATTCAATGTGCATTTTAATGATCACTTTAAAATGTTTTAACAGAAGCTATGGGCTTGCTGAGTTTTGAGTGTTTTCAACAGCAATGATGTGTATAGGTTTGTATAGAAAGGCATGGAAATGTAGTGTTAAAGATTTAAGCAGACATGATTATAGCATTGGTTATCACTTGTAAAGTAAAAAGAATTTGAATTATGTCCAGCAATCCTGTTAGTGAAGCAATATTGAATGGTTTTGAATATTTGTTTATTAGCAAACAGTTACAGCATTATTAATGTGTGTATTCTTTAAAAAGCATTAACAATATTTTGTAGATAATGTTACTGAGCACTGATGGTTGGATGTGAGGCATTGTCATGTCTGATATCATTTATCCACTATAACCAGATTGATATTTCCCAGATGGAATTTCTCTGTTATCCCCAGGATCTTTATTACGTGAATAAGTGGAATATTGAATGGTATTTCTAACGCTGGTTTATAAATTCCTTTTTCCTAAGGGTGGCACGGTTGGCTCACTGATTAGCACTGCTGCCTCACAGTGCCAGAGACCCAGTTCAGTTCCACCCTCGGGCGACTGTCTGTGTGGAGTTTGCACATTCTCCCTGTGTCTATGTGCGTTTCCTCTGGGTGCTCCGGTTTCCTCCCACAGTCCAAAGATGTGCAGGTTAGGTGGATTGGCCATGCAAAATTGCCCTTAGTGTTCAGGGATGTGTAAGTTAGGTGGATTAGCCATGGGAAATGCAGGGTTACAGGGAAAAGGATAGGGGAATAGGTCTAGGTGCGATGCTCTTCAGAGAGTCGGTGTGGACTTGTTGGGCCAATTGGCCTGTTTCCACACTGTAGGGATTCTATGATTCATTAGTATATTTCTCTGCTGTAATTCTTACGGTAAAACAGTAAAATATCTTGAAGAGAAAAGACTTTTAATTCCTGCATTTCAACTTATTGTCTATTAGAATTCATTCAAGTCTCCAAATTCATATGTTGTATAACTTTTGAAATGACAAATTTTGTTGAAAGAGAGATTATTGTTGAGAAGTGGGTGTAACAGAATTGGTTGTTTGATGCCTGAGCTTTATTCACCTTAGGAGTAGGAAGAAAAAGAAAAACTGCACCTGAAATTTAATGAAAACATTGGAAATGTATAGCAGCTGGAATAACATCTGTAAACAGAAAGAAAATGTTAATGCCTGGGAATGCTTCCTTCGAATTACCTCAGAGTAGTGACCACTCCCAAAATGTTAAGAGACAACAAGGTGCAGGGCTGGATGAACACAGCAGGCCAAGCAGCATCATAGGAGCAGAGAGGCTGACGTTTCGGGCCTAGACCCTTCATCAGAAAAGGGGGAGGGGAAGGGGGTTTTGAAATAAATAGGGAGAGAGTGGGAGGCGGATAGAAGAGGGATAGAGGAGAGGATAGGTGGAGAGGAAACAAAATGTTAATGTGTCTTTTCTCTTTGTAGATGCTAATGGTTGCACAGTCAGCATGGTGCTCCATTCAGACCCTACAGGCTAGCAGACAAGAGCAATAAAGCTGATTGATTGCTCTGGAGTATTCTTATCAGGCAAACAGAAACTTTATTTGTGGGGATTACTCAATAATGTAGCTTGGAAACTGTTACTCAAGGTGATGGGTTCTGTGTGTCAAACGCCTGACTAGTCTAACAAAACACGTAGTTTTACGTTACGAGCTCACAATGAGTCACTGCAATTTACAGTTTAGAGTACTGCTTTGCACAAATATTGATCAGATTTAATCATTTACAGGTCTGTATTTGAAATGCTGTTTTTTAAACATTGATTTCTATTAAGATCAAGACCAAGAAAAGAATGATGTCATGAGAAGTTTTATTCAAGTTTTTATACTGGATAGAAAAGACATACCGTGACAATTCAATTATTTTGATTAGGTCATAATAGTTTGGCCTGGCCATTGGTATGAGAAAATGTATCAGATTTGTAGAGGAACAGAAAAGAAGACAATTTAATATTTGATATTAGAATTAGGACTTAGTCTCCCATGTAAAATACGTTACGTAAAGGAAGATAGAAAATAGAGGAAAATGCATAAACCTTATTAATTATTTTTCAGAATAAAGCTGACCTCCATATTATAGAGATGCTGTACAAGGCTATAGTTAGGTTACAAATGTAGTGTTATTCCATGTTTGATTCCAGCAATGAAGTAAACCTTAGATGCCTGAAAAGCAAATTAATGAACTTGTATTTTCGTTCATTTTCAGCAAAGGGCATTGAAGCAGTCCATGGTGTTAGTAAAAGAGCAATCCTTTAGGGACAACTGTGACGTATTTCCCATTGTGTTTCTGTAATGTGAATTGTGGAGAAGTGATGTTCGGCAACATTTCTTGCATTTACATAAGTTAAAATCAGTGCTTATCCTGAAGTGGAATACATTCTGACTACATTTTCATGAATCCAAGATGTTTCCAATCAGATAAGAGGGTCGATAAGGAGGATGTGGTGGTGTCATGGTAATACCACTGGACTATTAATCCAGAAACTCAGACTAATGTTCTGTTGGGGGTTTTGAGTTTGAATTCCACCATGGGAGAGGGTGAAATTTGAATTCAATAAAATCTGGAATTTATAGCTAGCCTCGTGACATCCATTGTTGATTGTCATTAAAAATGTACCTGGTCCACTAATGTACTTTAGGGAAGGAAATCTGCCATCCTTACCTGGTCTGGCCTACATATGACTCCAGACCCACAGCAATGTGTTTGACTTTTGAATACTATGTGACCAATTACAGATGGACAATAAATGCTGGTCCAGCCAGGGACTCGCACATCGAACGAAGAAGAAAAAAATGGATTCAGTCCATCATGATCTGAACTAAAGAACAACAAATAGAAAATAATGTATCAATAAGGTACCTGACAAGTTACCTCTTAGAAGTATCTAGAAGCCATTCGATGAAATAAGGAAAATAAACTTTGACCATGACTTTCAGTTGCAACGGAACTGCATAAAAATCAAGAGCTCAGATATGAGGTAATGATGAGCAAGTTTCGGACAGATGCTGCAAAGTATTTATTTCCATGCAGGGCAATCACCAGTTGGAAAGGTTTGCCAACCACAGAACTTGAGGAGAGAACAATATAATGTACTTAAGAAGTGTCTAGCTGTTGCACTAGGATCACAAAAGTATTGGTATTCTGGAAGAAGGCAATCCAGTGGATTATATTTTGAAATCTCTTACTCAGAAAACAGTGGAGGGTGAGTCATAGACTTATTCAAGGCAGAGTTAGTTAGGTTTTTGATAGTCAAGGGAGTTGAGGGTTATTGGGGGGGACACACAGAATGTAATTCAGATCAGGACCATATCAGCTTTGAACTTATTGAATGGTGGTATTTGAAACCTATTCTATGAAATGGTTAATAAAATAAGTGCTGTGATAGTATGTGTGAAACAAAATCCAAGTTAGTGTAAAAGTTTGATAATAAACATTGACCTTTTTGTTTCAACTCAGAGCCATGATGCATCTCCATACTAAGAAAAAGTTAGTTACATTATTTTGGAAAGGAATATTGATAATATCCTCTCAATAGTCATGACAAATCCTATAAAACAGCTGGTAACAGATTGTATTCAGAAATTTTTTGTAATATCTTACTTGCTTAGATGTATATATTGTACAACTTTAAGTGGATAATTAACATCTACATGTCTGATATGCATTTAGCCTGTTAATAGCTTTGTTTCTTCACACTCATTGCACACCATGTTACAAGGCCTAGGAAGATTAAATTCAGTCATTCATAAATGTCCTACTTAAGTAGAATGGTCTAAAATTGCTCATGTCTGAACAGGCAATGTTGTAGAATAAACTCATTTACTCATTTTGAATTGAAACGGGGAAACAAATTGTCATTGAAATGAGAGGGGAGTGATGGTGGCAAGGCCACTGAATGTCGGTCAATTATACAATCCCTCAAAACTACGAGCAGAAATTAACAACAAATAAATCTGTGCATCTGAGTGTAAAAACATCTCATATACAGCATAACAGTAGGTATAGCGGAAAAAAAAATCCACGTGCATCTAGACCCCTGTCATGAAGTAATTCTGCTCATTACATTGCTTACTGTTCAGTGGTCACCTGATTATGGCACCTGCATTGCCATGACATCTGCTTTCCTGCTAAGGGCTGTAATTAGGAAGTTTAGCTCCTGGGTGGAGGAGGAAGAACAGAAATGACATTGGTTTAATTACTTTTTCAAGGTAATTACAAGTTTCTCTTTCTTTCCCAAAGATTTACTTTCCGCCTTCTGCGGGGACCTGCTTCGAGCTTGAGCTTGGCTGTTTCGCCTGGGCAGCATGGCACATTGTATCATGAAGCATGATGCAGTGATGATGCCATTCTGTGGAACAGTGCTCCACTAAAATTATATAGATTATGCAGCTATAATTTTACTTCTTAGACCTGAATCCAGCCTGGAATATTTGGCGTTCACTTTATCTTCATTGTAAGACATAAAGCAATTACAGTTATAGACGGAGATGAAATGGCCATTCAAAAGATTTCCTTGTCCAAATGAGCGATAAGACAATTCCGGGTACAAATGTGATTTTACAAGCGTGATTTAGGGGGCTAAGGTGGTTTACTGGAGCATGTGTTCAAAACTCACAATGGCAGATACTGAAATTTCAATTCAATTAGTAAAAATCTGGAAGTATTAGTAAAGCTAGTCTAATGCTGATCATGATACCCTTGTCATTTGTTGTAAAAAGCCATCTGGTCCACTGATGTCCTTTAGGAAGTAAAAATCTGATGTCCTCACCGGGTCTGGCCTATATGTGACAGCAATGTGCTTAGCTCTTAAATGGTCTCTGAACTGGCCTAACAAGCTGCTCAGTTGTGTCTAACTGCCAAAATACAAAATATGAAAGGAATGAAACCGGACAGATCACTTGGCAACAATAAAGGCACTGAAAACAACAATAGCACATC